TTCAATATGCGAACCACCAGATGCTACCACATGCTGAAAACGTATAACAGCATGGTCCACCGTCACCTTTAAAATCTCTGTTGTAACACACATCACGTGTCTCGTTATGCTAGATTTCAATTCCACAACAGAAGCACATGTCATTCTCTATAAACCATATCTTTCAGATGTCCCCACAGATAAAAATCGCAAGGATTAAGGTCCGGTGAACGTGGGTCATGACTGACCATTATTCAATGTGGTCTTGTATTTATACTGTTCGATGGGCTTAAATTTTGCATATATGCCGTCGATAAGCACTGAAACGCGGCACAGCTCCATCTATCGGGTGAAAATGGAAATTTCTTTTCTTTGCATATTTGACTTGCGCATGTTCTGAACTATAGATAAATTTCACTGGAATATTCCCCGTAGTTTTCCCTCCAGCACCCCTTGAACACTTGCAGTTTAATTATGACCACCCTGTATTTCTAATATAATTAATTCCACTAAAATATTTTAACTTGAAAAAAGATGTATGTAAAAAAATATCTTCAGATAAATATTTAATGTTACGATTTTCTTTAGAATTAATCAATGCATGCAATATAAGTATTCAGTACACAAATTATATACAGTGTCAAACGAAGCATGTCAAATTTTTCATGCCTTTTGAATGGATGTCTTTCTTTTTTTAATGTTGTGTTATTTTCAAAAAAACATTCAAACAATTGCGTTAAACCATGTTATATTTTTTAGCTTTTATTTACTGTTCCAGAAATTCTTTTGAACATAAAATAGAAAGAATTTCACTTCTTTGTATATCTATTTCTATATCATCATCGTTTGAAATATTTATAGGCTCTGTAAATATTTGTGTTGGAATATAAAAGTAAACATTCTTCAGTTTGCCGTTCTGTGTGATGGATATTTTCGTAATATTTTGGAATGAAACTGAATATAATGAATAAAACTGCATTGTTTCTTATTATTCATTTTAAGCCAATTCTTCAGTCAAGGTACACACAGAAAATAGATGCATTTTTAAACATTTTAAAACTAAAAGTCAGTAACCATTTTTGTATTTTAAAAAGGAATCCTAAAAAAATGACTAAAATGATTTAAAATGCATTTCTCCATCAAGAACTTCGAACTTATAATAAATAAGTTATAAATATAATTCAATACATTGTTATTATTATTATTATTATTATTATTATTATTATCAACGATAGTCCCAAAAAAATCCTCAAACATTCGTCTAAAAGAATCAGAGAAATAAAAAATATAACCTAAAATTTAAAAAATTATTTTTAAATTAAAATTTACATATACGATTACTAAACGTGAATTCAAATTAAACAAAAGACAGTTAAGTAATATATAGTTATATGAAATTACTTTTTGTTTGCAATTTAACTCCTGAAGTCTAAATATTTTCTCAATAGATCATTTTAAATATATATTTGTCTAAAAATAACAGAATTGTTTTAACTCACTCGAGATTTTAAAAAAAAACATTTCAAAACTTTATAATAATTTTTCTTTAAGAAAAAAGCATAGTTACGAAAAACTTAGATAAGGAATAGTTTTTTTTCTTTAAAAATTACTTTCTTGCATCAAATCTATTGAAACACAACCTATGGTGAAAAATCTAAAATTAATAGCTTTGGAGAAGCTAGGTGTGGGATTTTCCTACATATGTATGTATACTAAGTCTATTTCCAAACCTGAAATTAAACACTTACACACTCTTCTATTGTGTTAGATTGATTGCTAAAAATTCAATTCTTCCTCATTGTGTGGCTATGCTGTTTTGGTGATCATCGACGAGATAAAGTCGATAGAATTGGAAGAATTTCGAATTCCGGAATTTTTGTGGATGTTTAAAAGTCGATTCAGAGAGAGATGAACAAAAACACATATATATATATATATATGAGAGAGTAATGTACATGTTTCTATATTCAGAAATATTGTTATTAATTACACACAACGCAATAAATTTCTAGTTTCAAATAAATCAGAAAAAATATCAAAAACTATAAACATTTTACTAAATACTGTTTAATTCAAAAATACCCAATTAATTTTTAATAGATACTTGAATAAAAAAATTCTAAATATTAGGATTAAATTTCCATAAGTTATTAATAGGTTATTATTATAAATTTATTATTCTTCCTAGATGGTTATAGTTACCTCTAAATTCTAATTTTAGATAAAATTACTTGTTCTCTTAGTGCTTTTTTAATTTAATTTAATTTATTATTTTTTAAACCATATATAATCTTAGTGTACCTAAGATAATGGTAATATATTTACAGTTCTTAATTTATTATTTCTATTATTTTCATACTTTTGCTAAGTGCTACTTTTCAGCCATTCATATGCTTTGAATTTGCATTTGGGTCTAAAATCTGGCAATAACGTGTTTAATGTACTCAGATTTAGTGCGGGCTCTGCATTTTTTTACGCAATTTTCAGGTAAGTTACCTTTTTCTCATAATGGATTTAGATTTTCAATCCATTATTTTTAATAGTTTTTTGCTCAGTATTATTAACAGAAAGGAGGAAGGTTGGCTGGCCACAAAACATGTTCAACCCCTCTTTTATATAAATTATTTTATATTTATAAACTGTCCTAAGTCAGAAATGTTTATAATACTGTAGCATCCATGCTTTTATATTTTTTATATTTAACTCTATTATTTTAGTTTTTCATTTTTCTATTTAAAAGCTATTGTCAGTTTTTTTTTTTACAATTTCAATTCTTTTCAATTTGATTGTGTTTATTCATGTGTCTCTTATAGAGAAATCTTGATTATATATATATATCTATATATATATAGATATAAAAAAAATTTTATAAAAAAAAAAAAAAAAAAAAAAAATATATATATAATATATATATATATATATATCTATATATATATAGATATATATAGATAACGAGTGACAATAGAAAATAGATGGTAAGCTAAACTTACCTCATATCAATTGAGAAACTATCAACTAATATGTAATGATATAAAAACCATTAAGGATTCCTCAAAAATTCTTTATTAAAGAGAACATGTGAAATATTTTAGTAATGCAGACCTGTTTCCTTTCATACCCATGTGAACAACGTCTAACGAAGACTTTTCCGACCATGGATTGTTGTGCTAATTTGAATCATTTGATGTCCCCTACATCTCCTTAAAGTAAGTCCAATGGTCCTGCGACATACTATTTTTCTTGTATGTACATGACACTGTGGACCCAAACAGGGATAACTAGTGCCAAGGATTTCCAAAATCCACATTGATATCGAATTGAAAATTAGTTTGTTCTCTCACGCAGCCAAATGGGTAGCACAGTGTGACGACATATGGAGCAAGAAGTTGTTGAGAAATCCTTGTGGCAGTCGATTCTACTCCTGCAGCAAGGCAGTTTTTAGTTCTGTGATGGTTCACGAAGGTGGAAAGTAAGATTCAGATACTCTCCAAAAACCATCCCAGTATCATCGTTAGGGTTAAGGTAAGAAGAAAATCCTTCTTGCGTCTTCCAAACATGAAGGTTCTTACCGGGATATATAAATTATTCCATTACATATTCATAGTTTCAATGTTATGTGTATTAGATTTGTGATTTTTTTAAAATATAAGTTGTTGGTGATAAAAACTGAAATTCATCTCCCCCCCAATATATATATACTATTACCATAAGAGGACTATAGTGAGTTATTTTTTTAACTTTGAAGGAACACAACAGATGGTAATGATGAACCTTGTAATTCTGATTCTCAGTCAAGTGAAGAAGGCAGATACCTGAGCTAACATGCTATTCCTCAATCTTTCACGCCAGGTTGTCACCTGGGGACTTTTAACAGTGACAGAATTAACATGCATCACATCTCTGCAATAGGGATATTTTGAGGCACTTGAGATCAAACCCATGATTCAATGAATAAACCCGGCCAAGAGTTCACATTCATAGTTACCTGGCTACAGCACCTACGAGAACTATAACAAATTCGCTTAGATAAGAGTAATATGTTTAAAGAAAATTTGAGTAAAAATTATAAGACTATATCAATTATGTAGAATTTCAGAACAATTTATATCAAAAATCAACAAAAAAGACGTAAAAAAATTCACTTTTTTAATTAGATATAAAAGTTGCAATGGGAAAATAAATTTAAGAAAATTAAGAGACATTGTTTCGTCAGTCGATAAAACTACACAAATAATACCAAAATAACAGCAACAGTACTTCAAAAACTAAAGCATTAGTATACATTTGTATCGAATTTTACCGATTCTTGTTCCACGTATTCTAACTTAACCAGGTTAACGTATTATCATTAGAGTATTGAGCTGTCAAGGTGAGATACAGTTGAAATTTTCTCATTAAGATTATCTAGAAAACTAGCGATTCCGTTCGTTACAAGCAGTAAATGTTAACGGACGCGTCCCTAGTTGACCACTCTTCTCTGTTCAAAAGATTTACGAAAGGAAAGCATTGATAACAAGGGCATTTAAACTCGCCACTTGTCAATAAATACTTTTCGAATTTCTCTTCGCTCTCCAAACCCTTTACATCTCAAAATTAAGGCTACCGAAATAAATTAAAGCATTAAAACTGTTAGAATAGTTTTTTATATAAAATAAATTTATTTGTATAGTGATGATATAGAGACAGAGAGAGTGCCTTTTTAAATAATGTTCAGTGAAGATAGTTTAACACGAAACTGAGGAGCCTGAAATATTTTTTTCATTTTAAAGGATATTGCAAAAGGATTATTTTAGTTACTTTTTATTAAATATTTACTAATAATATAAATATTATATACATATAACAGAATCACAAAATTAAATGACAAAATAAAAAGCGATTATCCCTGCAATTTTCCGTTTTACTTTCTATATAGATTGTTGTACTAATCTTTTGTTTGTTATTATTTATTTAGGAATTAAATTTAATTATTTTAATAAAATAGTATAGAAAAAAAGAAATCACTTTCTCAAAAGTTAGGCCATCTCAGGTGGGATTCGAACCCACGAGCTTTGGATTAAAAGTCCAACGCGCTACCATTTGCGCTATAGGGACGCAATGAACAGTTTCCCGTTCAATATACGGTGCTGTACTATTATTTTTGTTTATTACTATTTATTCATTTTTTAATTTTATTAATGAATTAATCCTTGAAACAACTGTATTAACATCAAGTGTCATCCACTAAAAGTTTTAAAAGTGTATTTGAACTTGAATGGATGAATATAAAGTATTTTATTAACGATTAAAAATTTGAACAAGATATACACTCAAGAGCCAAAACATTATGACCACCTGTCAAGAACGAGTTGATCCACATTTGGCCCGCAACACAGCTTCAACCCGCCTTGGCATGGATGCCACAAGTCCTTGGTAGATAGCCGGAGACAGATTGTACCGGATGTTTAAGCAACGGTCACGCAAATCCCAGTTATTGCAAATTGGTGGTCTTTGAACTCTAAGCTACTGTCCAGTGACATCCCAAATGTGTTCTATGAGATTGAGATCCGGTGAGATAGGCGGCCAGGACATTAACTTTTCCTGAAACCACTCCAACACAATTTTAGCCTTGTGACACAGGGCGTTGTCCTGTTGGAACATTCCATTTCCAGCTGGAAAAACAGAGGTCATGCAAGGGTGCAACTGGTCCGCAATAATGTTAAGATACCCTGTAGCATTCATGGTCTGCTCTACCACAACCACGAGTCCCAGAGACGCCCAAGAGAACGTCTCCCAAAGCATAACACCACCACCACCGGCCTGTGCATGACCTACTGTACATTGAGGGAGCAACTACTCGTCTGGAAGACGGCGTATCCTGACACTGTCATCGGCAAGATGAATGACAAACCGTGATTCATCTGACCAGACAACTCTCTCCCACTGATCCATGGACCAGTCGCGATGTTCTTGAGTCCAGCTCAGGCGCAGTTGGTGATGACGCTTGGTCAGCAAAGGCATACGAAAGGGACGTTTGCTGTGTAGCCCCTTATCCAACAGTGTCCGCTGAACAGTGTGCTCCGATACTATTCTACGTGGCCCTGAATTGTATTGTGCTGTCATCTGAGTCACTGTCTGACTCCGGTTTTGCTTCACCATGCGAGACAGTCTCCGACGACCTTTTTCTTTGATAGCGTGTGGACGTTTAACACTATGTCGTCTATTGCTGGTTTCACCATCACTCATCCACTTTGCATAAGTATTAACAACTGTAGATCGCGAACAACCCAAAGTCGTTCAGTTTTGGAAATACTTGTTCCGAGCCTTCGAGCCATTACAATCTGCACTCTATCAAAGTCGCTTAGATCAGCAGCATTTCCCATTACACACAGAAATAAGTGAAAGAATGATTCTTCGGACTCTCCAGCAGCATTTAAATACCACTTCCCCCTGATCACGTGCCTTAAATGTCATCCAGGCGAGTTCATTGCAAAATGTAGGGATGATCATAATACGTTGGCTCTTGAGTGTATATGCAATGATATATATATATAAGGAGATAAATATATATCGGAGGGAGTTAACTACTAGTAGGAATTGAAAAAGAGGTCCAGCGAGTTTTCCACTGATATGTAATAATCCATACATAACACATGTAAATATTTTTGAATTTTCCGTCAAATTCTTATGAGTGCTTCTAAAATTATTTTAATTGTACTACAGTGTAACTATTCATAAGCTAACTTTACAGTGAATTACATTGTACTCGCATTGATATGGATATATCGATACATATTGTGTTTAAACTTACAAAAAAAGGATTCTGTTATAATATCAACATTATTTCTTCCTCTGTTACAAACTGCCTTGCCCAAATCCCCACTATCAGTCTATTCCAGAAGATAAAGCAATCCATTCTCTTTTTTCGTTTAAGAAGAATTCCAGCCACGTTCCCAATGGATTTCCCACTTTTCACACAATACCCATAAGACTTAAAAATCAAGAAAAATATTTTATTCTTTACCAGCTTCTGTAGGGACTCGAATCCTACTCGTTGACAGCATCAAGAGCGGACCTGTTTGAAAAAAGACGATTGCCTTTTTCCCAGTGATAGATGATTCCATCGGTAAGCAGGAACTTAAATGCCTTTTCGTTGAATGGTTCAAAAGCCTCTTGATTAATGCCGGACCCTATTCCCTTTTGCGATTTGCCCTTATATTCTTTAAATAGCACTACTTGAGGGGAGGGAGAGTAGAAGCGATTTATAATGTTTCGCTGCGGTTGTGTTATGAAGGATTGTCATATTCTAACCCTCCTTGGATCCTATTGCAAGAAGGGGTGTAGAGTTAAGAAAAAACTACCTCTCTTTTCTTTCAAAAATAGATTGTTTCAATTCCAGATATCGAAAATATTTTTCTTCTATTTTTTAGAGAAAACAATGGTTATGTGATATGAAGAGTCGGCTAATTTTTTTCGTTTCCGAATGTACTTCTATATGTATTATGGTATGTATGGGTTGCAGATAAGCAGTAGATTTACATCACTGCTTTTACTTTAATTTTAAATATAAATTAGTTAAACAATTACTTTACGAAATACAATCCAATGCGATTGAATTTTAAGTTTTCAAAAATGACTTGTTCGTTGAAAGAAATAAAAGGTTTTTTTAAGGTATTCGGACTACCCTAATTGCAAATTTTGCCAAAAATTTTAAAAATTTGTGATTTTATTTTATACTCTAGCTTTATAAAAATACTAAGTTTATTATTTTCCGTTCACTAGAACAAAACCTACAAATGTTTTAGTAAAAGCAGATGCCAATACTTTCAGCAAGATGTCATACTTTCAAACACGTTTTCCTTGAAATGTGTTTTGTCGAAAATGCTCAAACGGGGCCAGCGATTGCTAAAAAAGTTTAGAAAAGAATTACCTGAAATTTCTTGTGTACGTTCTGTATAATAGTAGGATAGTTTTAATTTTCAGATTTATCAATCACTGTTTTATTACAAAATTTACAGTCCCTTATGTGAATATAATCACTGTTTTTTAAGCAATTTCATATAATAACTAAGATAAAGTGCTCTAATTTTTGTAAAAATTAAAATATCTCTTATCCTGAAGGTCATTTCAAAAATGAATAACATAGCAACACATCAGAACTGAAAAATTGAAAATTTGTTCATAAACTTTTGGTACAGAATGGGCCCCACTTATGTTATTTTTGTCAATTTTTACCCATTTTTTCCGTTTTAGTAATAATAATTTCTTTTTATCTTCTTAGTTTTAGCATATACTTCTTAAAATATACTAAACAAATCTAAAAACCACAAAAAAAATCTTTATAACTCTCTTTTTTTAAAAATTTTTCGCAAGTAGTTGGTAAAAAATTTTTATTTAAGATCAGACAATTAAATTCAGTCATCAAAGAAGAGCCATAGTTAACAATAAACTTAACAATTTATTTATCCAGTGTTATTAGGTCTGGCACCTTCAAGTTGGGAGAGCTACATTTAGCGTACAAGTATAGAGTTCAGAGTACAGAGTGATTGTAAACAAAAACAAAAGTATCTACTTACATAGTGTTCAGACGCCCTCTGGCGGTTACAAAGAGAATTCGTTAGGGGATTCTTAACAGTTGGATACCTTAAACTTTTTGAAAAAGTGTGTGCTTTTAAAAAATGACTAATTTGTATTGCAAGATGTTTGATTTCTTGTGAGCTTATTTTAGAAAATACATAAGGGTTTCATGGAAAGAGAAATTCCCATTGGATTCTTGATATTTTGCCTCAAGTATAAATAAAAATCAAAGTTAAGCTTATTAATCTTGAAATATTACAAAAATAACCCGTACATGCTCCAAAAATAAATGATTTAAAGATTCTACAATATGTAAATTATAATGAAATAATTATCTAATGAACTAATAATTATAGTTCACATCAAATATAAACAATAAATAAAACCCGATACTTGTGATACTTAATTGTCCTTCGTTCCTATTTCTTGACCACGATGGTAGAGTAGTTATGGTCTCGAACTCGTGACCGCAGTTGTTGAGAGGCGCTTTCGAAATTTTGGGCCACTGAAGACCCACCGTATTAAGGAAGCTTGATGTATATTAAATATGTCAGGCTCAAAGTCTTTCCTCCTTCCTCTGGAGCTGTGTTGAAGTGTGGTGAGGGGTTCAGCTTAGGTATCATCTTCGTCATGGCCTTACTTCAAAATTGCAAATTCCTTTACCAATAGCCCTTGTGTTGCTTCACAATGAGACAAAAATTAAAATTAAATCAAATCTATTGCTATTTCGAGGTGCTCAAGTGTTTATTCCCCATTGTAAACGTATGCAAATTTGTTTTTATTTTAACTTGAGTTATTTAAAAATGCTTATTTATTTAATAAACAACACATACTAAAATATTTTTACAGCTTATTAAAATGTCACATTCGAGTATTACAAATGAAATCAAGTATTACTCATTATTATATAGAGAATATTGTTGTTCATAAGGGATTCAAAAACATTGTTTTGAAATTTAAAAAAATAGTATAAGCTTGGTGTATAATATAACGAAATATGTACTTTTATTAATCAAAATGTCACATTTATAAGGATCTGATTTTTAGTTAAAAGAATATATTAAAATCTATCTATCGTAAGTGCTTTACTAAGAATGTTGCTATCCTTTCATTCACACATATCCACAAGAGAATGAACTAAATTAATTACAATTTCCCTACGGCACTGCTTCCCCAACTTTCAATATTTGCAACCCAGTATTCAATCATACTTTTGATGGCCCTCCTCCATATTATAACAATTCATTGAATTCAATAACACTATAATTTGACACTAAACCTTCAATACGACTTTAACCTCTTAAAAACCACCGACGTATATAAACGTTTCCTTCAGCCATTGCGTCAATTGCCCCGAACGTATATATATATATGTCATTCCAAATTGCAATCTTTTCTGAGCACTGCTATCTATAAAATTATTCCAAAGGCTTCCGAATGTAATAAAATGACCTTGACAGTGTTTGCGATTGATTTGCTTGTTTATGACTTTTCTACCCCACCCCCACTACACTACATACGATCGTCTACGTGTTAAA